TCACACTGAGCAGAACGTCATCAGTTGCCTTTCAGCACTCGGTGCCTGTCTGGTGACATTTCTATCAGCTTGAACCCAGCAAACACCATTAATGATATTAAATGTCCAAAATAAACAGTCCAGAGTTTAAATATCAAAATTAGGCTGGTGCTTTATGGGAATGTACGTCTTATTGTTCACTGTGATGTCTCAAGGAAGAGCAATCTCTGACTGAAAATTTTGTCATGGTTCAGATGTTTGCATGGTCAATCTTGTGCATGTGGATCCTCGACCTCTAAAAATATCCTAAGCTAAATAACCCTCTTTTCCTCAGCAGAGCAAGTTGTAATGTTTCTGGTCACTTAATTCACTATTGATTGAAAAAAAATTGTTAGTCTGGAACCCTTGCTGTCTGGAAAATTTGCTAAAAACTGTTAATGTCTTGTGGAGGTACTCTGGGAGGGATAGATGGGCATGTGCATGCTGAGAATGTGATTGCATGAGTGAAAATCCTAGAAAGAAGCTTTTCATGTTTGTGGACATGATATATATCTGTTTTATTGTTACACACCGTGTTTATCTCCCATCACTGACATAACTGATAATGTTGTCTCACTTTCTACTGCTTTCATTTGGTGTAATGCATTCTTATACCAGCACTCCCTTAAGTTTCCCTGGGTTTAAGGTTACAGGTGGCATGAGATTTCCTTCTGATTCTTGTAGTTCAGATTATCACCTGCCAAAATAGGCCTGCAAAAAATACTGAGTGTCTGCATCTTGTGAACATATAAAATAAGGTATGTAAACTGCTTTCAAGGAGCTCTACAAGTTTTTGGGTTTGAGGCTATTTTAACTTGGCATGAGAAGGCTGAAAAATAGCTCTGTACCAATGTGTATAGATGGAGAAGTTGGATACTTCTCTCAGTTCTATTGGTTTTCTTGAAAGAATAGAGCTGTAGTGGCAGAGGTCACATCTGTATCTGCTTTTTGGACAGTGGCAAGCTCTCAGTGCAGTCATTGGTGTGTGGACAGGCAAATTCACAAATAGGGTGTATGTTATTCAAACCACAAAGCAAAATGGGGTGAGAGCCACAACTGTAGCTGTTGAAATAGGTCTGGAAGTTGGAAGGATCTCCACTTAGTTTCAGTGATGCAAATCCTTTAAAAGACAAGAGTTCAGTGTGCTGAAGCAGGAAAAATTTGAGTTTTTCCTCTAAAGTGGATGAAATTACAGTGACATGAAAATATCCTTTTGATATCTGATGGTGTTAGGGCTTTAGTTAAAGTGTACTTGCACTAAGAATGCATGACTTGTAATGGGACACTGCAAAATGAGGTCTGTGCTCACACTGTAACCTTCATGTTTAGGGTTTTACTGTGAATGTAATGAATTAGAGCTAGGTTTGTCTAAATCTGAGCAATAACAAGTGAGGTACTTAAAATTCAGGGTAAAAGAAGAAAACAAGATGGAGTTGCAGTGTCCCTGTAAGCTCCATGGAGCAGGCTCTAATTCTTTCTCAGCACTTGCACCATGCCCAGATTAATAGAAGGACCCTAATTATGGATCTGGAGCAAGAAAATGGAAGATAAATTAATCTTCAAGAGACCCAAATCACAAAGCAATAGCATCTGAGAGGAAAATGTCATTAAATGTGCTGCAAACATGCTGAAATTAAATCTACTAAGGAGATGCTTTGTCAGAATATTTTACGAAGTTGGCTGCTTTGTCTAAAAAATTCCTATTACATTCTGCATGTATATTAGGCAATGATTTCCAGCTTCCTAAATTTGTTATTTGTTAATTTTTTTCCTAATTACTCACCCTAATTTTGTTTCACTACTTCCCACAATCTTAAACTGCATAAAAGAACATCTATGAAGTGAATTGTGCTTATCACTGTCTAAAAAGGAAATATAAAAAACCCCTAGACTTGTTAATTCTGCTGCTGCTGGGGCATCTGTGCTGTAGCAAGATCACCACAAAGGAAGATTCTCTGGTCTAGACTCAGTTCCACCAGTAAGTGATTCTGGATGTCATGCAACTTTCACTGAAGTTAACGTTAGAGTTCAGCGTTTAGTGACTTGGTTTGAGTCACACAGTTTTATGCCTTGATTTACTTTGACAAAAATGGAACTGAATGAAGAATAGAATAAATAAGCTTTTTTCCCCTGAAGAAACAATTCTAGGGGGAGGGTGAAAAAGGGGGATAAACTACTGGGAGAGGGAAAAATATGTCTAAATTGGAGATTTGAGTTGCTACATGAAGGATTTCTAAGCAATGCTCAGTTGTGCCCTTAAACTTTGTCTTGTAGTTTAAGTCCCTGTGAGGTAAACATGAGTTTATACCTTTGATACTTGATTCTGGAGAGGTTTATGGATTCTTTGCTTTCCAGGAAAAGCCCTAACTAGAGAGATGATGATTTTTTTGGAATAGACCTGTCTTCAAATCCCCTTTCATGTTTTTTTCTTCAAAACTGTCCTAACCATTAAACTACACAAGGCCAAATAACCTCAACTTCATTTGAACAACTTTCCATATGAATCTGGCCACTTCTTTCCAAATCTTCATTCTTCAGAAATAAAGCACTTCAGGTCAAACAAAATGTTTTCTTTCACTTGAAAAGGAATGTTTTTCCTTAAAGCTAAAAGCGTAATTATGGGTCATACTGAAGCCAAATGTATATTAGATTCAGCTACCAAAATAATTTATTAGCACAGCTATATGGCAGGGTGTTTTTCATGGCAAATTAACAGCTGTAGTGTGCCTTAGGACCTTGGATTATAGAACTGGATGGGATCATTAGGTCTATTTAATTTGCCTTTAGTAAAATGATGGAGGAAATAATCAGCATATTAAACATACATGAAATATTTTTGGTATGTGTAGTCTGTTGGAAAGGAATGAATAGTTTGTGTTATTAGCTGGAAAATGAAGTATATATAATCCACTGTGTGTGGTTGTCATCAAAGCCCTACTAGGAGTGCAAGACTAAATGTGCTCTTTTTACCTTCTTTTCCTTTCCTGCTTTGTTTGTGGCTTTGGCAGAACAAAAAAAAGACCTGGATAAAATGAGAGAGATTGTTTCCCATTTATCACAATTGTGTTTGAGGTGCTGTCTTCAGCATGAAGGCACAATAAGCTTTTCATTTATTATTTGCTTCAGAGTAGGGCATGGAAGCCTAGGCTGATATCAAAACTCTACCTCTAGGCACTCTGTGCTCAGGGGAAGGAAGGGTCTCTGCATCTGGAGAGTTTATGACAAAACAGCTCTGGCAAATGATGAGGGGTGAACAGAACCACAGAGGAGGGAACCCTGTGCTCACCCTGTGCCTGGAACATCATGCCAGTGCTTGCTTTCTGCACTGCTGCCTCCCCTGATCCCTAATGGATGTGCATCCTTATTGGAACAGTGTGATACGTGAGTCACTACAAAGTGCACATGAACATACGTACCTGCGCTATTTTAACTTTGTTGTGACAGAAATTTCAAAAATAAATACATTCCTTTCACCTCCCATATCTGACCTGGCAAGAACATTCGTTTTTAAAAGCTGGTGGTAATTCCAATACAAGATATTAATCAGGCTTCAATCCATACCCTTTGTAAGAGAAAATGGGATGGTACATGCCTAGTCTTATTTTATTGCAGTATTTTAACAACAGATGCAATGCTGCCTTTGTTATTATCCTTTATTCCTCAGACAGTGTTCCCCCTCCTAATTATTACTTGTCGTCTTCAGTAAGATTGAGAAATGGCATTTTTTTGAGCTCAGGTAAATATCAAAGCAATCTTACTTGTAATGACAGGGCTGCTTTCACTGGGGAGTGAAATGTAATGAACTAAAAAAGGAATTTAATATGCTTTCCAAATTAAATAATGTATTAATTTCTGCTGAGAAGTGGTCCCCAGCCCGCTTGAAAACAGCGGGTCTTGTATAAATACCTGCAAAGTTTGAGCAAAAGGTAGATCAGAGCCATCTCCTTCAGCTTGAAGTTGCCCATGAGTGTCTCTGGGGACACTGGGCTGTGCCCTTTGTGTCTCGTTTGGTTTTGCCCCTTCCCCACTGGCAGTGGAGGACATCACTGACCCTCTTCCCACTGTGTGAGCCCCAGGTTTGCTTTCTTGCCATCCATCACAATGTGCAGCATCTTCCTTGCTGGAATCGGGATTACACCTCCTTCTCAAAAATGGCCGTGTTTCAGCTTTTGTGCTAGCAGAAAACTGTTTGAATATAGAAATTCTAAAGGTTTGAAAATCAAAGGCAAGTTAAAAACAGGCAGTTTCTCTTTAGTATTTCCTTAAGGCAGATACTCTTTTGTTTGAGGTATGTGTTTGTTTAAAAGGAATGAGAGAAGATAAGGAATTCATTCAGCTCAGTTGTTTAAACCTCTTGGAGAATTCTTTAGGATTGTGCTGAAAAATCAGTGCATTGAATGATTTTTTTTCCCCCCTGGCAACATTATATTTTTCCTATCTGAAACATATTTTTTTACTTCAGAAAAGGAACAAAAAAATTCCGAACAACTTTAGGTAGAATTTGGTGGTTACTCTCTGTAGCATGGTTTAAGGTCATTAAAAGTAGCATTGCTGAGAGCAAGTGTGGGCACAGAAACCTGTATTCCACCACTCTCTGCAAAATAACTATAATTAAGGCATTCTTATCTATGTAGAGAGAAACAGAGTCTCAAAAGTATTAAGTAATAAAGGAACAGTCCCTGAAACTGAGAAATTTCCGGGCTATTGCTGATACAGTGGAACTCAGAGCTGGCCAGAAATGTGCTGTTTAAGAACTACTTTAAAAGAAAAATCTAATTTTGTTCATTAAACTCAAATTCATTTCATTTAAATCAATACTTAATGAGTGAAGTTATCTTTTTTCACTCCAGGAGAAAAAAGTAAGGATGTGCTTCTCTGGCTTGGCTTTTCAGCTGTTTCATTTCTCTGTATATTACTCCTATTATTTGAAACAAGTCAGTAGTATTCATAGATATCCTTTATTTTCTTAGACCAAGATGAAAAAATATCTTTTTTTATTATCAAAGCATGAACAAGAAGCTGTTTCAACCAGAACTCAGAAACAGCTATTCATTGTGGGATTTGAAGTAAAAGACTAAATTCTCCTGCACCAAGACAACAACTCGGGGAGCGCTTGCATTCACACGTTCTTCCTAATACCTGGGAAAAAAAAAGAATATGTTTTTAAAAAATGTTATTTAAAATATGTTATTTAAGACGTTTGTTTTTTGGTTGTTTTTTTTTTTTTTTTTTTTTTTTTGGCTTAACGGGCTCTTAAAAATATTTCACCTGGAGATGGATATTGGGAAGGCATTTCCCGTGAGGTAACGACCTTCGGTTTCCTTTCATATTTCGCTTTTTACTCGCTTCCCCCTCCCCCCCCCCCCCCCCCACCGCTTTTCCGCATATTAAATTCCTTTTTTTCCCAGTTCGTTTCGCTTCCCTCCGCGCTGGAAGCAGCTCTGTCATTAAAAGTAAGATTGTTTTGATTATATTTTTTTTTTTTCCGCGCTATTTTGGCGGGGCCGCGGCGGCTCCTGAGGCGGCCCGGGCGGGGCGGTGGCGCCCCCTGGCGGCCGCCTCCCCTCAGCCGGCCCGGGGCCTTCCCCTCAGGGAAAAGCCGCCCTCGGTGCCCGCAGGAGCGCTCCTTTCCATCTTTCTTTCGGTGAAAAATTTCCCTCCACCTGTTGGGACAGGCTGCCCAAGGAAGGGTTTGGTTTGCCACCTGTCGGAGTGTTCCGAAAAGTCATGGATGCGGTGCTTAGTGCGCAGTAAAATTCACAACGCCGCAGGTTTATGTCCAAAAGGAAGACAGAGGAGCCCTGTAATATTATTTGAATAAAGGGAGGATGTCTCAAATTGTTGGGGCATCCTAATTTCCCAGATATGTCACCCTCTTCCTTTCCCCGCTGGCTGAGGTACTTGGAAAGTACAGATTTCCCAAATCACCTACTCTATGCCCCCCTCTAATATGCACCTGTCCCTTTTTATTTTTTTTTCCTTCTTATAACAAAACACTATTCATAATTCTATTAAGCCTTTGTTCTTTTTCTCCAAGTTCAGGAGTTTTACTCAGCCTTGGCTAAGCAGCACTCTGTGTGTCAATTAGCAACATTTTCTAGAACGGGCAGTTTCTTCCTTTAGCTCCCCATCTGCAAGTTCCTGGCCCTATCTGCAAGCAGATTCCCATGGGTGGGGTTTTTTTTGTAACACATTCGCCTTATTAATTTCATTCAGGATGTGCTTTGGTGGTGGTGTCCATGTGAGGTTGCTGGTTGGACTCGATGACCTGGGAGGTCTTTTCCAGCCTTACTGATTCCACGATCAGTCACCAGAAGTGCCAGTTTCCTGCAGCTCTGCTGTCCATCCCCTTCTGGCTTTAGCAGCCCTGCAAGGAGAGCCTTGCTGAGCTGAAGTCCCTGCCCTGTGCTTTCCTGAAGTTTCCTCCATGGGACAGTTGTGCTCATCCTGATTGCTCAAGTGCCACTTAGCTAAAAACTGATGGGACGGAGAAGGTCCCCAAGTAAATTACCCATGTAGGCAAAGCAAGAAACTGAGCTATTTCCTTTCCCTCCCAAAAGATATGAAAGGGGATAAATTAACTGTATGACACACGGGCTACAGCCCAAACGTGTTTCTCCCTTTTTCTTTCAGGAAAATCTGCCTGCTTCAGAGGTTTTCCCACAGATACGTTGTTGGGTGTTTGCCTGAACTGTGGGCTCTGTGTTCAGCTGGCGTCCAACAGGTTATCCTATATGGGAATAGGGCCTCGTGGAAAGAAGCCCTGTAGGAGCTTGTCCTGTTTCCAAAGAAAGGAAATATGTGGATTCTTTGTTTGAACTCTCCAGGTAACCATGTTGTAGCTGGGACAGTGAAGGGGATGGTGACACTGCTCAGATCCTCAGTTCTGGAAACCTTAAACATGCACTGAAGTATTTCTACTGAAGACTGCACCACACACACGTGTAGTAACTCATCTCTACACTCTACCAAGTTCTCAATCCTTATGCCCTATATTTTTAATATTTAGGTGAAAATGCTAAGCAGAGTGCAACCTGAGATTGAAGAAACACCTGTGTCCAGGCAGTGATGAGTAGGTAGGTGGAAAAAAGCAACACAAATTGCTCACTCCATCTATTTATCCATTATTGGGTGGCATCTTCCAGGTCATTCATTAATCACTGGTGTGGCCTCAGAAGTGATGCATTAAAAGGTAAATACTTTATGGAATTTAAGGTTTTGAGACAGTGTTGGAGGCTCTTTAGAAGAAAAAATAAAGAAACAGGAACAGTTGACTCATTCAAAACAGACATTTTTTTTTTTATTTCTACCTTTGTAGAACTTGCCCATTCTTATTCCTTACCCACAGAAGAAAAACGGCATCAAGAACAGAAAGCACCAAACCCATTTTTCTCCATAATTTATATTTTCCCTTGGAGAAGTGAATTGCCTGCTTTGTTTTACTTGAAAGGTGTTCCATCTATTTTTTAATGGAGAATGGATGAGAAGTAAGTAAATGAGAGGGCTTCTTTCTCCTTACTTACATTGTCCTTTTTATTCCATGGAAGAAGATGGTTACAGAACATTTCTTCCCACACGCTCTTATTTTGAGTTCTGTGCCCTTTTCTTTGAGAAGAAGGGGTTTAGAGATCACAGAACTGAAATAAATCCCTCCAAAAATCTTTTTTTTTAATATTTCTTCTTGTGAAAAAGACAGGAATGCAAGGCAGCAAATAACAGAAGTGTTTTGTTTTAAAGATGGTACTGGGGATTAAAGTTTTTCTTAGGGTTACAAATTATTTTTCCTTTCCCTAAAGTGTCTGCTGGTTTTTTTTTGTTTCACTTTTTTAGTCAAAATTCTGAAAACTGAAATTTTCTCTCAGTGTTTCAACAGAGGCAGGGAAAAAAGTGAGAAATTTAGCAGGAACAAAAATCTTGCCAACAGGCTTCCATAGTTATATGAAGTGGAAAATGGAGCCATTGCTGGTGCTGCTGTTCCTTGCTCAACTGACATCTGGTCTGCAGGAGAAAATTCACATTGGTAGGGTATAAATCAGGTGAGATCCAGCATCCTCCTGGCCCTTTCTGATATTAGGAACTCAGTGGGGCTGTGGTTTCTAGGTAAAGCCTGTGTTCCAGGACTGTCCAGGTCAGCCCTAGACATGAGGCCATCCTGAACAAAACAAGGATATACCACCCTCACAGGAATGAAAAAGAGAGCAGAGTAAGGGAGAAGCAAATCAGGAATTAATGTTTGCTCATCAGTGTGGTCAGAAATACGACAGTTATGTACAGATTGAGGCTCTTTGTGTCAAAAAAAATCTTATATTTTTAGGAGTTGATAATTTTTCAGCCTGTGGCAACATTTAATGCTAATAGAACAAAATATTGTGGTTATTTGAAGATTAAGCTACTCCTGCAGGTGGATTGCTCAGATATCTCCATAAGCATCTTTGAACCTCAGTGATGTCCTGCTCTGTGTTATTTCTCAATGGACTAGGCATGACCTGATATGTTTAAACCATATGAGAAAGATGCAACAGAAAATGTCTGGGGGAATTATTGCTGGGAAAACCTAATCTTAATTATATTTCATTACCTGTTGGCAGGTGATATGCTGTGGCTTTCTGCAGTTTTGGTGGCTTCATTGAGATCTTTTGTAGAGCTTGAGTGTGATGATCTCACAGTCTATGCTGGCCTGAGCCTGGAGGGTACACTGTCCATTTTGTAGAGGACAATTGGCACAAATCCCTGTTAAACCTGCATTCTTGTGTGTTCACCTTATGATGATTCTTGGGAAAGTGCTCCAGAGAAGCCAAAACAATCAGTGGTGTCTTGTCCTGGATATGTTTAATGAGCTGGTAGGTTGAACACCCAGTCTGTGCTCACGCAGTTGTTATTAATGCTGTATAATTCCAAGCACGTAAATCAAGAAGCTCTCCTGAGCTTCCTTTATAATCTCTAGAGGAAGGTTTCTCCCACCGCTCCCCCTGAATGTAATTCAATTCTTAAGTAAGGAGCAGTGCATCTCCAGAGGATGGTTTAGCCTGTTCAGGTGGCTCAGAGGAGATGGAATCAGATCACCATCTCTTCTTTAATGGAAATGCCAGAATAGGCTCCGTTGCACCTGGATCACATAGCACTGAGTGCCAGCTGCTGAAGGAATTTGGGAAGTAGAAATATGAGACGAGGAGCTACAAAGATCTGATCAGTGCTTTCGGTGCTGGAGAAGGGCAGGCAGGGCAGTGCTGACCCTGACATGACCTTATTCTGGCAGGCAGTGCCTGCTGAGTCAGCACTGGCTCAGCTCTCCTTGGCGCTGGCCAAGGAGTGCCACTGCTTCCCCATCTCCCTGCACAGTCCCCTGTGCTGCTCCCTCCAGGGCTTCCCTCCCTACAAGAGGCTTTTCCAGAACACCTTGGTTTGCTACTGTCTTCTGTATTTTCCTAGCTCAGTGAAGGATCAGAGTTATTTACCCCCGCACTTCATCCTCGGAAGTGGCACGGAAGAGAAGCACACATGGCTGTGTTCCATATGGGTGAGGGAGACCCAAAGTGGAAACTCCATTTACAGAGCAATTGTAACCACTGGCAGCATTTTGCTGCTTCCCTACCTGCACTAACTCGAGAGTAGGTTTGGGGCTAAAACAGTAGAAAATTAAATTTCTTTTTTTTTCCTTTTGAGCTTAGTATAGGAGTAGTGGGAATGTGTAGCAGAGTGTGGTTACTTGATGACTCAAAGCACAGCCTTGGCCACAAGACCAGCAGCAGGTAAAGCCCTTGGGGTCTGTGCAGCACCCACAGCACTTCATGGCCATCCTCCCATCCACATCCTTCAACAGCATCCGTCTGTTTAGCTCACATGCATTGTTTGTGCTTTTAAACCCACCAGATAATTAGAAATGCTCTTGCAAATTAGTTTAAACTAAAAATGCTGTTGCACTCGATTCTGGTTTCAAAAGGTATTCTAGTTAAAGCATCCCAGCTTCCACAGGGAGGCAGCAGAATACCTGACAATTTCTTTGTGACTTTAAACTTGCTCTTTCTTCTAACAAACTTGCTTTTTCTTCTTCTTTTAATGAGCTCTTTGACCCAGTATATATATTGTTTGGATTAAGAGGTTTTAAGAATTCGAAGTTCAGATGAAAATTCTTTTTTTCTTGCCAAGGTCAAGCTTGCCAAGATCAACATTTCCCTTATTTCCCTCTGAGCTGCCACCAAAATGATTTACAAGTTATATAAGAGCCAATTTTGAAAGAAATATGCTTTTAATTAGAAACTAAAAATCAGGGTGACTCTTTTGAGACAGTGTAGTTACATTCTGTTGGTATTTCCATTATTTTCAGGGATTTATCACCTCAGGAGAAGAAAGCATTCTACTCCACTAAAACTTGAAATTTTAGTACTCAATACTAAAAATATAAAATAAGTAGAAAATAATACTATAAAGTCCAGTATTTCCAAACCAGGCATTCAAATATCAGGGAGCAGACATCCACTCTGCCCCCTAATTATGTTATTGGCTTAAAAAAGTTTTAAAAGTTTTAAAATAATAC